AAAAAAAATTTTTTTTTTTTTTTTTTTTTTTTTTTTTTTTTTTTTTTACTTTTACTGTGGTCAAAAGAATTACCATGAGTGAGATGATTGGAGTCGGGACGATATATGAGCAAGATTGAAGCGAGAAAAGTTTATAGCAAGTGACAAAATTCATTTCGAAGGATTAAAATCGAGCAATTATTTGCGTCTATATTTGAGACAGATACCTATGTATAAATTTGTGTTGGAGTTTAATCAGAAGGAAGATCGTGAATAAAGGAGTATGGAATCGAAAACTCGAACGACATTAATTAAATTTTATAGCTATACATATTCACTCGGATCATGTTTCTCAACTAGGATCTCAATTTCTTTCTCAAACAATATAATGGGTTCATAATGAGTGACCTGACTCGATCCAATAAAGAACAAATTCTCGGATGAGAGTTACATATGAACCCAAAGAATTTAGTAGAGCTTAATAGTCCTTTATTCAAGGGGAGAGTTGTTGGTAGTGCTCATGTCGTATGAATAAATAGAGAGAAGATCGTGGATATTTAAAGACTAATACGATAGAGAAGAGTACATGAATGAAACAACATAGTTATTACTTATATTAACAAAACACATTCTTGTATGACGACTCGATCATATGAACTCAAAAGTGAAGTGTGCTCATGTAGAATTGGAGCATCCCTATGTGGAACAGCCTGTTAAGAATATTTAAGAAACATGCAAGTAAGAGAAACGTATGTTAACAAGACTTTCCTCTACCAATAGTAATATACTGTGAGTCGTTGTTACTCTCTTGCTTGCATATATAACGTCTCTTTCAAAATCTTTCTTTGCCCTCGTTTTCTAAAACCTTCTTCTTAAACCGAGGTCAGAGGCTCGAGCATACACCGTTTGGCCGTAGGCGACATAAGAACGAATTGGCTTAGTACACAATCGCAAGTCCGCTGCTATCAAGAGTGCAATTGTGACAAGTGGTCGACGAAATAATGTTGTACGAGAATGCAAAAGAATGTCAAAATCTTAAGTGCAAATCCAAATTTCGAACCCTAATCCAAATCTTGAGTCTCGAACAGTACAAACAACTATCTCTACTAGTATGAGATTTTTTTTTCAGTAAAACTAAAAAAAAAGCAGATACAATATCAAATCGTTACGTAGAGACCATCCGTCCTAAACAGTATAATGAAACTCGAATCCTTAACTTCACATAAAAAGCATATCTATCAATGACTTGATTGATGACAGATCGAGTCATATCATTGCTATATGTATTGGCATAGGATCGAGCGCATCTAAACTTTTTATACGAAGTCAAAAGAATAATTAAATGGAAATTTGATGATGAAGTAGAAGAAAATTAAATGGATTGTATGAAACTTGATAAGAACGCAAGGGAAGGGAGGGGAAGGGCAGCTGGAAAATGGGTGAGCTGGGTAAGCAGCCACGGCGACAACGACAGGGAAAGTGGTTCTGGAGAACCCAACCAACCAACCAACAACTCGACCAACACTGTATATTGCGTTACAGGTTTACATTATTCTATGTCCTTTCAAATTTCCACTTTTAATCTTCTCATTTTAATTCACCTTTAAATTTCAATTAAGTGACGAATCTATTAACCTTTTCTTTTTATTCCATTTTATTTTATTTATGAGGAATATTCTTGATAATAATTATTTTTGTGTTTGGTTAAGCACGAGCGCCAGACAATTGTTCTTCTTGATTTGTCATCGTTCAAAAAGTGAGATAATTGATGGTGCGTAGAACATGTTAAGTTAGATATGTTGGCCTCGATATTCCTCTGCATCCCCTAAACCCTAAACTTGCGTTCTTCGCTTCTTAAGAGTGAATACTATTCCTACTAATCAAAACGAGTCTTTCCAACATTTTTTTTTTGTCTTCATTCACATGCGTCTTACGAAAAGATCACCCAGTATAGAATTACTCAAAGTAAAGCACATTAATTATGGAGTTTCTACAATTGAACCACTGAAAAAGAAAGTGTATCTTGTTGGTACAAGTAATAACTTAGTCATCTTATCCTAAGATTGCTCTCATTTAAATGTGGTATCAATTCATTCATGTACCTTTCCTTTACTCGAGTATATTATAGATATGGATGATATTTTTTACGATTGTGACACATTTCCCAAAAAGTAAGTAGGGTAAAAAGAAGAGGGTTTTTGGGTTGTTTGAATTTGTAGGGTAATGGGTATGAAAATGGGAAGACTTTGCCGTCTTGTTTGAAATATGTCTCTAAACAGTGCATTTCTTTTAGTTTTGGTCCCCAAATGAGTGTCATGACAGCCTGTTTGTTGCCTCTTCCTTTCGGCTTTGCCCTTTAGTGCTCGCCCACTTTATTTCCTTGCACAAATGGACAGGTTTTGGAGGGAAGCTGCAACGACTTTTCCCCCTCTTCTTCCCAAATTAGAGCTGCAAACCCGAACCGATCGAACCAAACCCGTTTCATATCTCTAAACTATCTTTGCTAACTAAGTCGGATCGGCTTTGGTAGGAAGCTAATATCGAAAAAACAGAACTAGTCGAACTAAATCGACTTCATATCTCCAAACTATCTTTGCCAACTAATTTGGATCGATTTTGGTTGAGTTGTAAGTTAAAAAACAAAAGAAGTAAAATGTATTTTTTAAGATTCTGCTAGGCTTTCAAAAAAACATTCCTAAAAAGTAGATAAGAGAACAAAGAAATGAGGTGCAGAGATAGTGAACTTTCCAAAAATTTAAAACGGTAATTTAATGAAACCTTAGTTAACGACTTTTGAAAAATGATTCTATATTGTCCTCGAGATTTGTTTAAGAAAAAAAGGATGACATATAACTTAGCAATTAGTGAAATTATTTTTATATTAAAGACTATGGTATAGAACCATTTTTCAAAAGTTAGTCAAAGTTGTGGACTAAGGTATGATTTTTCAACATATAAAATTGTCTTTACCCTTGCATGCAATAAAGCTTATAGGACCCATAGAATTGTATGTTCATTTAATTAGCTCTTATTATTATAGACCTATGTATTTAATTCTTAAGTGTTGATTAGGGTACGATCGCAAATGCAATTTGATCACATACTGCTTAACTAATCTATACTTAAAAGAGAAAGATGCGGTCACATAACGTGCTTGATTCTAGGCGACCATAGGCGACTAGACACATTTAGATATCTCCATCATGCTAACTTTCTATATAGAGAAGTAATGCAATGATCAATCGAAAGACAAGTTTGAATTCCGCAACATACCTTCATCACCTCTTTCGACGATCCTTCAATGATTTATCGTATTCACCGACTAAAGAAGTATAATACGCGTAGTCTACTACGAGCCCTTTCTCATTTCTGAGGTGAAGGAAATCTTCTGCTCTTCCACTTTTACAGTGCCCTTCCAACAGAATATTGTATGTAATGTCATCAGGAGTTACTCCTAAGTTAAGCATTGCTTCCAACAGCATATTGGCATTCTTCATCTGTCCTTGCTTGCAAAGCCCATTCATAAGCACATTGTAAGTTATCACACCAGGATTATGGCCATTTCTCTGCATCTCTTTCAGCAACTTAAACCCCGGCTTAACATCGCCGTTCTTGCAATACCCGTCGATCACCATAGTATACGTCGCATCGTCGGGTTTCATCCCAGCTTCCTTCATCTCCCTCAAGGTCCCCTCTGCATCCATCACCCTTCCATCTCTACACAAACCTGAAATAATGGCTGTGAATGCTACATTATCAAGAACAACCCCTTCTACATTCATCCCTTTCCTAATCTCCATGGCTGATTCTAAATCTCCCTCTTTGCAGTAACCATCTATGAGAGTTGTGTAAGTGATTTTATCTGGTTTCATCCCCACCATTTTCATTTCATCGACCAGCTTCCTAGCTTTACTAACATCCCCAACTTTGCAGAGGCCATTCAAGAGTGTGTTATACATAACTAAATCTGGTTTCAC